CTGCCATTTTTAATCTCTCCAGGAGTCACTTTTTTTTTTTTTTTTGGTGCTGGGGATCGAACTTGAGACCTTGAGCTTGCAAAGCAGGCGGTGGAACCACTGAGCTAAATCCCTGGCCCAGGAGTCACTTTTTATATCACGCTTCCTTCCTGTCCCATTCCTTGCCAATCTGAGATCATTCATTACTGTGCTGTAGCTCTTCTGAACGACTCACACTGCCCTTATGGACTCTGTCCACTCTCGTAGCTGTCTTTCGAGGCTCAGTGAAGGTGTTGTGGGTGGTGGTGTGTAGGTAAGGGTGAAATAAAGCATGACTAAGGTAATGCAGTGATGGTAACAAATAGGACTAAAGTACTATTTTGAGATACTCAGAGTTTTAAATTCAGACAAGTAAAGTGATACTGTTTTCTCATTGGTTATAAAAGTAGTTTGGAATTAAAAACAATTTATGGCTGGGCGTAGTGCGACCTACCTGTCATCCCAGCACTGTCAGAGGGTGTAGCAGTAGGATCAAAAGTTAGCCTGGCAACTTAGCAAGACTGTCTCAAAGAGTGAAAAACAGGCTGAGGACGTAACTCAGTATGAAGGCTCCAGGTTCAATCCCCAGTACCAGGGGATGCAGGACGCTTAGCTTTTATATAAGACTTTACTTTAAAAGTGCTTCTTCCTTAAGTCTCATTTATTTCTGACAAAAATGCTGTGAATTAAGTTGTTCGAAGAAACTGAATCTCGGAGATGCAAAATGATTTCTTTTAGGTCACATGCAGTGGCAGAGCTAATCAAACCTAGTTTTTTTCATGAACTTCCAGCTTCCTTTAACCGTACCATATTTACATGTAAGGAAAATATTTCACATTTCTTCATTTATGTATCTCTTTTTGTGTTAAAATATAGGCAGTTGAAGATAGACACATATATGTAACCACAACCTCCTGTAATTTGAAATGTCAGCATTATTTGGGGAATAATGTTACTAGCACAGTATCTACTATTTGAAAAATTGCAACTTAAAAAAAAATCTAAGGATTCTTTTTGAATTTTGGTGAAAGACTGTCCGCACAACCTTGAAGTCAGTCTAGGTTAAGGGCTACAGTTTTGCAGTGCCTTCAAGTGCTAGCAGGTGGCATGTGTGTGCCATGCAACTGTTTCTGAAATACAAGTTTCTGGTGTAAGTTCTGTATGGGTTTTGGACATTAAAATGTTAATGTGAATATGAGTTTTCAAGCAGTTATTGCTGCCACTTTTTTGCCCATCTCTTGCATAAAAAGCTAGAACATTTACATTATTATTAAAAAATTTAAATGTATTATTAACATTATTATGATTTCATTAAAGGGAGTTTTTTAAAAAGGAAAAAAAAATCACTCACTATTCATTTTTATATGCTATTTCTATATGTACATATATTTGCACAATCATAATAATACAGGTACATCTTGTTATTTTCTGGAAAGTAATTTTACACAGTATTGTGAGTAACTAGAGTTAGTAGAAAGCAGGTTATTTTATCTATCACACTGTTAATCTGATTGTTGGTGCATATTTTTTCCAGAGGATAGTGGTAGTTTACAGTGTCTGCAGCATGTGAACATGGTCTTGGATTGACATTTAAAGTCAGTATTCTTACTACCTATGTTCTTTTTGAGTTTATTTGTATTTATTTAATTATTTTCTATTTTCTCTTTCAGAATTATAAAAAAAACTATGCTTTTTAAAAGCAATATATTTCTCTTCTCCTCTCCCCTCCCCTCCCCTCTTCTCTCTGCTTCTCTTCTCTTTCTTTCATCCAGGACCTTCACCCTAAGCTGCATCCTTAGACCTTTTTTTCTGTTTTATTTTGAGATAGAGTCATGTTAAGTTGTCCAGGCTGGGCTCTCCCTGATATATGGGAAATATTTATAACTCCCAACCTACTACATGTCTAGACACACCCAAGTTCATGTTCTCTAAAATCGAAGAATGAATTCTAAGAGCAACAGAGGTTGAGTAGGAAGAGCTTACTGAGAGGAAGATAGTTTCTGTCTGAGACAGAGACAGGAGTCCCGAGTGGGTGGCTGGGGACCTCACTTCTTAGGGGTATTTTATTGCCCAAAGCCACGAGGTGAGGCAGGTACAAAGTGGGGCAAAACTATAGTCAATAAGATTGCAAGTAGTCACTTAGGTAATACTGATCTGATGGACAATCACAAGGTGGGTATGAGGTGGGACAAAACTAGAGTGAGTCAATAAGATAACAAGTACAATCACTTAGGTAATATTGATTAAATCAGGATCAAATGGGAAGCAAGTCATCATAGTAAGCATACATGGAACTCACAGGATTTTCTGAGAATGGATGGGTCAGGAACCTTTCCTGGAAGGAATCGGTTAAGGTGTTGGTCCCCATCCAGGTGATTGATACCTGTTTAGAATATTTGATAAAGGTTTGTTTGGGTTTTTTTTTGTTACTGGGGATGGGGATGGCACTAGCATCAAAATGACACATGCAATTACTACATCATTAAGAAAGGAAGCCACAAAGCCTGTGTTCAGGCTCACTTTTGTAGCAACTTCGTTTCTAGAGAAATAACTCAGGGTCCCTTAATCTCTTCCAGTGGCCTAAGGATCTCTCACTAGTACACAGGTCCTCCAAACACAACTCTGAGGACTAAGATCCCAACACATAAATCCTTAGGGAAGAATTCAAACCATTCCAAATCATACCAAGCACAGATTAATTTTCCATAGAAAGTATTGAGAACAAGAAAGACTGCTTAAGGAAGAAAAAAGTTTGAAGTCAATCCCATCTCATTCTTGTCTGTAGCTTCAATAACCCTGCACTACCCTCAGGACACTATGACACAGTAGCCTATTTATCTGCCCATTTTCTCCAATGAGTTGCAAACTTCCAGAAGGAAAGAAAATGTTTATTTTCTTTTTCACAATGGCCTAGCACTTAAAAGGCATTCAATAGACATTTGCTGAATGAATAAATTTTAAAAAGTGCCAGGTATGGTGGTACACACCTATAATCCCCACCACTCTAGGCGGCTTGAGGGAGGAGGGTCACAATATTGCCGGGCCAGGGAGTTAGCTCAGTGGTACTGTTGCCTGCCTTGCAAGTGCAAGGTCCTGAGTTCAATACCCTGTACTGCAAAAAAACCCAATACTGTAGATAGCTAAATTAGATACATTATAAGTAGGGTCTGGCCCTCAAGGGAGCCAGCACAGAGGACAACCATGGCTGGAGACACATTCACTGAAGTTCAGGCTTCTAGAGAAGAGGAAGGACTACACCCAAATACTTCCCCTAGGGATGTACAGCAGTGATTAATATTCTAAATACGAGGGCCGGGGATTTAGCTCAGTGGTTTCACTGCCTGCTGTGCAAGCTCAAGGACCCGAGTTTGATCCCCGGTACCAAAAAAAAAAAATCAAAAAATTTATCTATCAGTTAAAATGTATATGAGCCTGCTGTTGTCATATAAGTAGGTTTTCAAGCTAGGAATATACTTTCTTTGATAGGTGCTATTCAAATTTTATATTTCCTCCAGAGTTAGTTTCATTAATTTGTCTTCCAAGGTACTTCTTAGAAGTTGTCAAATTTATTTCAAAAAGATTTTTGTAATATGCTTTCTATATCCTTTTAAATTCTTTAAACTCTGTGGTAATGTCTTCTAGATCTTGATATTGTAATTTTTAAAATGTTTAATTGGTATTGTGTAATAGGAAGAAAAGGTCTAAAGGAGCAGGGGAAGTGGGAGGGATAGGGGAAAGGAAAAAGGGGAAAAGAAAATATATGAGAAAAGGAAAAAAATGGAAACAAAGTCTTTGCAAATAGGGAAGGGTAGAGGCGGGTGAAGGGAGGGCAAGGGAAGAGGAAAAAAATAAGAACCAAGATACTCATGTAAAGGTACAATATCCCATTGATGAATGTAACTGTATTTTATACCTAAAATGTACCAATAAACTTAATGGGAAAAAAAATAAAATAAATTAACCTCTTCATAAAGTGTCCCAGCTTTAAGGGAAAGAAAAAAGTGAAAATAAAAGGAAAAAATGGAAACAAATCTTTTGTACATAGAGAGGGGAGGGGTACTGAGGGGGAAATGGGATAAAAATAAATTTTATTTTAAAGAAAAGTTCCCAGCTTTAGTGTTTCACTCTGCTAACTAAAACTGGTCTAATACAATGCTTTAACTGTATCCTGGTGTCAAACCTATTCATCAGTACACACAATACCTTCAGCCTATGTCATAGTTACGTGCAAATTAAAAAATACATTAATCTAATTCAGTATTTCCCAACATATGTCTTAAGGATGACTAATTTCATGAACCTGAAAGTGGGATGGAGGGTCCAATAAATTGGAGGATCATTTACATATCAATCCTACAAAGTACTCCAAGAAATATTATTGTAAAGAATTCACTTTAACTCAGTGTATCCTAAATATATTCAATAGAAATAACCGTTTTACAAAAAAAAAATCTTAGCCAGTGAAGCTAAATTTTTAAAAAATGTTGAACTGAATTACTTCAAATGCTTTGACCCTTACCTAATGCAGTATTCTAACCTATGAGAGATACCTGTAGCTTTTAAAGAATAAATGTCCTTGAACCCAGTTGCAGTGATACAGGTTTCATATTTCCATGGTAGAAATTTATTAAAGATACTCGATTGTATCATTTATTTCTATAGTACAGCCTTGCTAATACAATTGAGTTTAAGTCTATTGGTGCAAAATAGCACCATGATTTCACTTATTTAAGAGATATCATTTGCTTTTTCAGGAAAGGCACAAGCCCAGAACTTTCAAAGAATTTCAAATAGTATGTTCTGTTCCCTCTTTGTTTTTCTTTCCATAGGTAAAATGAGACTTCATAATGCTTGCCAAACTGCTAACTCTATATAGGAGGGAGTTTGAAAAAAAATTTTTAATGGGTTTAGTGTTAATATAGATAACATTGCTACTTTTTTCATTAAATTAGGTGATGGAATTTGTTTCTTATATTTTTAAGGTGAAACTTTCCAGTTTGAATTTAGATGATCATGCAAAGAAGAAATTGATTAAACTTGTAGGAGAACGATACTGCAAGACTACAGATGTACTCACCATCAAAACAGATAGGTAAAGAATAAAAAATTGAACAGACTGGCCTTGTGCTTCTTTATTGCCCTCCAGTTCCCTGGTAATCCTTTTTAGAGAAATTATATTGACAATAGAAGTAGCCTTTTATTATGTCAACTTATTTGAAGAAGTTTTCTAATTCAAGTTTCAGTATCCTCACACAACCTACTTTTTTGTGTGCTCTTTATGTATGCAGGGAGGCTTCTCAGTTATTGTTTTGGTTTGTTGGTTCTTTTGTTTTGTTTTGTTTTGTTTTTTGAAACTACTCACTGTAGTCCAGACTGGCCTTGAACTCTCTGTGTAACCTAGGCTGGCCTCAACTCAATGATTCTCCTTAGCCTCCCAAGTGCTGGGATTATAGGTAGGTACCACCATCTACAGATTTTTAGTGTTATTTTTAATACTAATTTTCATATATCCATGTGTATAAAATTTGGAAGATGTTAGAAGACAAAAATATGCTTTGCTAGTGATTAATGCTTAAGTAGTTGAGGTTTTTGTTTGTGTCCTTAATTGGCTGTGTGATTCTAGAATCAGGCAATATCTCATTCCATAAAATAGAACAAGTTTTCCTTTAAACAGATTTTTATAAAGTGTGTAAGTCTTGTACTTTAAAATTATTAAATTATATATGTGGAACTTTTATCATGGCCCTTTTGAAGAAGCTTTTTTTTCCCTTGCAGGGGATCAAATTCAGGACCTTTCGAGGCAGGGGTGGTGCCACTGAGCTAAATCCCCAGCCTAAGGCCCTTTTGTATATAAGTACAATTTTAGAGCTAAGATAGATATTTCCAAAAATAGCATTAACTGTATTATATATGAATTTATAAATTAGATTAGTTTTATTTGATTGAAAGAAGGGTTACTGGCATGTTTTTACTAAATAATTATTTTATTTTTAGAATGATAGTTTAGTTGTTTTTAAATTGTCAGAGTATAAAAGACCTGACTTTACAGAAAAATGAGTCAGCACATCTCCTCTTTTTCCTGCTAAGCCAGTTCCAAAGCATTTGGAAGTGTCCAGATGGATGAGATCTTCATCCTGAGTCTCAGTACAGAAAAGGAACATGTGTACATAGACATGGCAGTGGTGTGGAGGCAATAAAAGCATAGGCACCATAGCTTCTGATTGTTACCTTATAGAAGAAATAGATTAGGAATAGATTAGAAATAATCCTTTTACTGTCTTTAGAAAATGCCAGATAATATTATTGATTTTTTACTTTTTTCTGACTTTAAAATACCTTTAAAATGTTATTATTTGAAACTTTGTGTTTGATGATGTTGCCTTTTTTCAAGATAAAGAAGTATCACTATGTTTATCTTTTATGGTAACAACTATTGAGCAGAGGACTGTTAACTAAACACAAGTGGGCTTTTGTTGTTGTTGTTTTGAGACAGGGCCCTCCTGTGTAGTTCAGGCTGGCCTTGAACTTGTGGTCCTCCTGCCTCAGTCCGCCAGTTGCTGGGACTACAGGTGTGCACCACCATGCCCAGCACAAGTGGACTAATAAACTTAGGAATAAACAGCATAGTTAAAGTCATTTGTCATGTAATTGTTTTATTTAATGTTTAAAGAATTTAGAAGCAGTTGCTTCTTTCTTTGCATTATTTTACTATCCTAGAACCTTAACATGCTACTTCATATATATGTAGAAGTTTTAACTAATTTTAGGATATTAGTTCCACTTTAAATATTGCACCAACCATATAGCATTGTGTATAATATAGCTTATTTTTAGAAGAATCAACTTTGGGGGAATAAAGATTAACCTTCAGATTCCTAGCTCTTTTTCTTTTCTTCTTTTTTTTTTTTTTTTTGGTACCGGGGATCAAACTCAGGACCTTGCACTTAAAAGGAAGGCAGCAGAACCGCTGAGCTAAATCCTCAGCCCTATTTTTTTATTTTCATACAGGGTCTTGTTCAGTTATCCAGGCAGGACTTGAATTTGTGATCCTCCTACCTCAGCCTCCCTCAGTTCCAAGATTGCAATTGTAGCCATGCACCTGGCTTGTCTCTTTGGGTTCCCTGCCCCTTCTCCTTTGGAGACCATCTCACTGTGTTGTCCAGGCTGTCCTCAAATCCTGGACTCATGTAATTCTCCTGCCTCAGCTTTCCAAGTAGCTGGAACTACAAGCACATAACACAGTCCGCAGTTTATCTATTTTTGTGTTTCATTCCCCGGCCTGTTTTTTAAATGAAGTCATTAGGTATGTGTGTGCAAATTCTTAGCACTGAGTTGGTAAAGGGAACTTGAATTGAACACAGTCATATTAAAAATGCCATGCAAGTGTTATCATATACAAATAATCCCTTAGTAATGAAATCAAAGATAAAAAACACCAGTGTTCAGTATCCCTAAGTTGTGAAATATGTAGTCTATTCTTTCATTCTAAGAATTTTTCTAAAAGCAGAATTCCTGATAATATATTGTATGCTGTGCAAATTCTTCTATATACTGAATTTCTAGAATTGTGACTTCCTCCCTCTTCTCTTTTAAAGATGCCCTTTAAAGAGGCAGAACTATGATTATGCACTGTATCTACTGACAGTATCATACCATGAATCTTGGGTAAGTGTGTGTGAATGTTTAATGATTGTCAGTGTGATTTAGATGATGTTAACTTTCAAAAAAAATTCTGTGACAAGTAGTCATTGAGTATTTTGTGCACCACCAAATAATCTAACATGTATGAAATGTCATGTTTCTACTGTTATCAAAAATGAGGATCTTGAAATAGATTATTCACTCCACTGTAGAACCATGCTGAAATATGCCTAAAACATTTTCAAACTCATAGTTTCTGTCTTTCACTGGAAATTTTGGAATGTTTTACCTTCTTCCCCTCTAGTACTGGGGACTAAACCAGGGCCTTGGTTATGCTAGGAAGCACTCTACTACTGAGCTACATTCCCAGCCTTTTTTGTTTTATTTTGAGACAGAGTCTTGCTAAGTTGCCCAAGCTAGCCTCAAACTTGTGATCCTCCTGCCTCAGTCTCCCAAGTAGCTGGGATTTTATGCATGTGCTCCCACACTTGGTAAGTTTGGTTTTCAGGCCGGGGATTTAGCTCAGTGGTTTCGCCACCTGCTGCACAAGCACAAGGACCCGAGTTCAATCCCCGGTACCAAAAAAAACCCTGAAAGGTAAGTTTGGTTTTTTATTTTAAGTGAAAGTTCTCAATTATGGAAGAGTAGTTAATCATTTACATAGCTTGACAATTTATGATTTATCTTGTTTTGTAAAACTTTGTACAAAGGCCTTTTAAATGCCTCTTAAAATCTGTGGTTAGGGGCTGGGGATTTAGCTCAGTGGTTCTGCCACCTGCCTTGCAAGCACAAGGACCCAAGTTCAGTCCCCAGTACCAAAAAAAAAAAAAAAAGTGTGGTTAGACTGGGCATGGTGGTACTTACCTATAATCCCATTACTCTGGAAGGCTGAAGTAGGAGGATCACAGACTTGAGCCTGAGCAGTCAGTGACTTAGTGAGGCCCTGTCTCAAAATAAAAATAGAAAAAGGATCCCAACATGGCTGATTAGGAAACTCCAAGGAGAGAGATTAGCTAATACAGGTATTCAGAAGTGGAGGCGACAGTCATACCCACATAGAGAAAATTAACCTGAATGAGGAATCCTCTAGATAGAAACAAGTGTCTGGGTTATTGAAAAAGGGATCTACCACTGGCCTTGCCTGTGCGCCCCCCTTACCCCCCCTTATCCAGCAAAGCAGCACCTTAGAAGTGGTTCTAACAGCTTGAGGGAAGGAGACAGAGCTGCAGAGGCTGGGCTACAAGGATAGGCTCCCTACATAATCTCCCTCTTCCTAGGAGGAGGAGGGTGGGAATAAACTGCTTCCTCTTCCTAGGAAGCCTAGAGTGGGAATAAACTGCTGTTGCCTCTAGGGACACTGCAAACTGTAATCAGAGAAAAGGAGACAGCAACACAAATACAGGCAGTCTCTCCTCATCTTCCCAAACACCAGGGAACACTGTGTCCCTGCAGCATCCTACCCACCACCCAATGTCTACAAGGGAAGCCCCTAGCCCTAGGCAGAGAGAGGCTGAACACTGTAAACTGTGAGCACCCTGAAGCCCAGTGGCAGGGAACTAGGATAGATTGCATCCCTGGAGATGCTAGGAAGGTGAAGAAAATCAATGGAGCCAGTCCAGAGCAAGTGCTTTTCTTTTATTTCTCCAAACTCTGGTAAGATCCAAGGCAGTGGAAATCCTGTCCCAACACTCACCATCCTGTATGGGCAAAGGAGACTCTCTGCCAAGGGTGGGGACTGCACCAACTTCTGTCGGTTGGAAAGCAGTGCTTTCAGGTCAGGGATGGATTAAAATGTAACACAAAGGAACAGGGAGTTGCCCAGGGCAGAGTGTTTCTGAGTATATTCTGGGGATAAGGCCCCTGCAGGCATTTGCCCGAAGGCTCTCTCCAGATTTGCCCATCAGCAAGGGTAGTGGGAGTTACTGGAGAACCAGGTGTCCTTCACATCCTTTTCTTCCCAAATTAATTGAGGTTGTCAGGTCTTCTGACAGAAACAAAGGTCTGCACTTGGCCACACCCAAATCACAGCTTACAACCAGGCAGCGGGTCCTGAAAGACTTAGCAGCCCTCATCACCCCCAGGGAGGTGGTAAAGCAGACCACAGGCAGGGGGAAAACCTTCTTGGCTGCCTGCAAGGACACTATTACTACAATCAAAAGAAATGTGTGGACGCTTGACTTTATGGTACAGTGGCCACCTGAGGGGTTTTTTGTTTCCTTGCTTATTCGTCCGGATTCACGCTTTAGATTTTTTTTTTGTTCTTTTCTTTGGTTCTTGCTTCTTTATCAATATTATTTTTTATTTTAATGTTTTTATTTTTTAAGTATTTTTCCTTTATTCTGTTCTCTCTAGATCTTTAGTTTTTCTCTTTTTAACTATTTCCTTTTTATTCTTTTTTCTTTACTCTTTCTCGTTTTCTGTATTCCTTTGTCTTCCCTTCTTTACATTTCATAGAATATATATTTAGGAGGTACTTATATATGTACAAAAGAAAATAATGGATCAGTGCTTTAATTTGAGTGGCAAATAGAGTACAGAGGATCATCAAGAAGATCATACACCCTGACCAAGTCGGATTTATCCCAGGGATGCAAGGATGGTTCAACATACATAAATCAATAAATGTAATACACTATATTAACAGAGTCAAGGACAAAAACCATATGATCACCTCAATCAATGCAGAAAAAGCATTCATGATAAAAACCCTGCAGAAAATTGGAATAGAGGGTCTTTATCTCAACTTGATAAAGACTATCTATGAAAAACCAATAGCTAACATCATACTAAATGGTCAAAAACTGAAAACCTTCAGGCTAAAATCAGGAACAAGACAAAGATGTCCACTATCACGACTCCTGTTCAATATAGTTTTGGAAACGTTAGCCACAGCAATTAGACAAGAGAAAGAAATAAAAGGAATAAAGATAGGAAAGTAAGAAGTTAAATTGTCATTATTTGCTAATGATATGATACCTACATTTAAGACCCAAAAAACTCCACCAAAAGAATTCTTGACTTAATTGACAGATACAGTAGAGTAGCTGAGCACTAGGTAAACACTCAAAAATAGTAGCCTTCTTGTACACAAATAACACTCACTGAGAAAGAAATTAGGGAAACCATCCCTTTCACAGTAGCATCCCAAAAAATGAAATATCTGGGAATCAGTCAAACGAAGGAAGCAAAAGACCTCAACATTGAGAACTACAGCACTCTAAAAAAGAGAT